CATTTCATCTTAAAGTAAGAACATTCCTAAACATTCCTGCCTTCGCAAATCGATAGATAAGACGAGGTGGACCATCTCACGACATGGCAACTACGATCTCCTTTGATCTCAGTTCATTAACGTTTTATTTTTAGGGCCATTTAAAATTTATTGTGTACTCTACGCCAATAATGTAGATGATCTGCGAGAAAGAATACGGAATGGATTTGAGACTATTCGAAGAATATTTAGTATTTTTGAACGAGGGACTTAATGCTAAGGCGTGAAGTAAATGACGTGTATTGACGCATGAGGTGAACACTTCGAATATTTTCTTTAATCGTCCATAACTTGAAAATAAGATGTGTAGAACATATGATGTTTTTTACTTATTTTAGTGTATAGATTTACTTCCTAAAGTATTGACGTTCATTTATGAAACATCCTATATATACTGGCGTTGACATAACAGTGTTAGCCCCTTTATCTGTGGCGCAGCAACCCGTCTTACATTCGAGTAGAACGTTCATCGCGCTCGGTTTATACCGATAAATCGACACGCAAGAATAGATACAGTACTGAACACGTTGTAAGCCGAGTCGGTAATACATTCACCGCATTTTATCGACTATCTTATGATTGTTATTTTGCAATAATATTTAAATAAACAATATCTTATTTGCACGATGTTTTCAGTGTTTTGGATTTATATGAATAAAGATTTATTATACATCTCGTACGTAAAATAATTATTGCATTTTTTTTCATACTTTAATTTAATTTTACTTATTCAAAAAATGCATGTTAATTTGAAATCAAATTCAATTACCAAAAAAAAAAACAATTTTAAATGTATTTATTTAAATGTATTTATTTAAATATCTATGGATTAAAATAAAATAAAAATATAACTGCGACAAATTGTGATTTGGAAAGAATTCGTCAAATTATTATTATATATCGTTTCCGTTTTGAGCTGTATTTGGATGATTAAAATCTCAAAGAAAAAAAAATCTCAATAGGTTCTCCAAAACACTATATATACATCATACTTCCTGCATTCACTCGATCCTTCAATCCTGACTTGAGTGCATCAGACCTTCGGTGACATTCGGATTGATTAATTCTTTTTTTTTTCTTTATTCAAAACGAACGAACGTCTGTGTGCGACATCTCGTATATATACATTTTATTATCCACAACAGGATATATCTGCAGGTTTTCCGGTCGTCCTTGATATTTCAGACATATTGGCGCATAGTCACGGTAGATCGCGAAGCGAATTTAAATTTGCCTACGCTTTAACGTTATCTTAATTCTTGCCTACCTTGAGCCGGAGTATCGGTCAATAGTATAGTATGCGAAAATTAGATACATGTTTGAAAAACGATAACGCTTTATAGCCGGCTCTTGTCTGTCGACATGCACATCGCACCACGTGAAACGTGGGAACGGGATCCGAGCAGTTTCGAGAGTTAATGATAAAGTCGGATTTTTTTTTCATCGTCAAATGATTTATTGATGCTTTCTATCAACATTACAAATGTGTGTAAGATGAAAAAAAAATGAAAGGAACTCGGAAAGAGTATCGATATTTTCATTATAATATTTTAATTAATTATATTTTCAGTACTTTATAATAAAATATTACATTGATCTTTAGACTCAATCAATTAAAATAATAAGATGTGAATAAACAATTTTTAATATTCGCTAATTTATAAACTTATTTTTAGTTTAGGGAAAAATTTACGAATAAGTAAATAAAAGTTCTTGATAACTGTATGATTTATACTTGTGTGACTATTTCAATCGTTTTTAATTAAACAAAACGTAACAACTTTAGTTAATAATTACATTTTTGTTTGTTATCATCGAATATATATAAATATGAAAAGAATTACATAAAAAATGAAAAACTTAAAAAATTGTAATTTTTACAAATATTGTTTGATTTATTGTTTTTTCCTTTCGGATACTTTTGTTATCGATACTTCTTTTCCGATACAAATGTATTATGAATACACATCTTCCAAATAAGTCAGGTATCGATATTTTTCGCTCGATATCCTGATCCTGAGGTAGATAAACACTGAGCCATCCAGAAGGTGATCTATGAACACAACGATAGATTATTCAATTCCAACAGAGAGTTCGAGATCTTTCTGATGAATGATGATTGTTCTGCGGAATATCAATGTTGATGCTGCTACAACAAGAACAGATCTGGGCAATTATTTACAGCACGAAATAAAAAACGTTTCAAACTTTATCATTTTAAATTTTAACTATAAAAGAAACTATAAATCATAATTGTATTAAAATATAAAAAAATTATAATATGTAAATTTACGTATATATATATACATAAAAAAATTATTCTAATTTATTTTATATAATATTACATAAAACAATGAATTCCTTCAAAAAAATAATTACTACAACACCCATTAATATACCATTGTTATTATATAAAATTTTAATTAGTAATTACTTATTAATAATTTTTTTCTTCAATCAGGAAATTAGTTTTAAGAAATTATTTCTCAATAGATTCATTGAAATGTAAAGAGATTATTTGATCAAAGATTAAATAACGAAGGTATATCCATTTGAATACATGCAATCACATTAATCAAATGAGATTTTATCTTAATAGCGAAAAGATTTTTATTTACGCAAAGCCCAGGACTGATCAATGTATTTGATCAGATTCAATCTAACTTAATTATTTCATTAGGACATTTCTCGAAAATCAGCCGGAATTTAGTTTGGCAGGCCCGCGTTTATCTTTCTTGATAAAATGCGTCGACGCAAAGAATCATATTGCATCTATTTTTAAACCATTCGATATACAGGATGTTCGAATTCAAATATGGTTGATATGAGATAATGTATTTCCGATTTGACTTATCAAAAAAAAGTCGCTAATAAAAAAGGACAGAAGAAGACATGACATTTCTTGTCTTCTTCCACTTTTCCCACTTCTAGAAGAGAAGCGAGCAGAAACAACGTTTTTCTCACTTTTCTCTTATCTCCGATAAAATCAAATGTTCACACGATCCGCGATACTTTCAGGAATTTCCTCGTTCATTCGTTCATTCCGTTACGTAACTTCTTGTGGACTACGCGCACCTGTACCCTGGAAAGGTGCATAATCGACGCAATTTTTTTTTTATTCCATCGTTTCGACGGGACAGTATCAATAACGCACGTCAGCCAGCTGCACGTGTAACCGATTATTTTGATTATTTATTTTTACGACTTGTTTCCTTTTTTTCTTTTTTTTTTTTGCGTGATCTTTCATGCATAAATGAGATCTATCTTGCGTCTCGGCCGAAATACGGCGCAAATATTACGTTGTTTCTTCGAAGTGAACAATTTACTATGGTCTCGTCCAATCTTATGCGCCGGTTGCGCGCGCACAGCGATCGATATTTTCGCGAGACGTAAGAGCTGCATACGAATGTCGATCGTCCAGCGATCAGGAAAATCATCGCGAGCTATATATATGAAATAGCCGTGGATTCAGGCGAAACCCACAATGAAGTTTCGCGCGAGCTGCGGCTTTGGTTGCCTCCTGTAAAGCCTTTCCCCGAGGGGACCGAAACCGGTATGGTTTCGGCGAGTAAGATGAATTCGTTCGCGTCGTGGACGGAACAGTTTCATGCTCCTTCGATACTCGCTTACATCGAAAATCGGATGCAATCAAATTATATACATATATACACAGAAATCTGTCTGTTCATGCTTTCCTCCGGCATTTTGTAACGAGATGGAACGACAGTTCGATTGATAACAATTCGATGTGCTTTTTTTTTACAAGAGAGCCCGTGCTGTTTTAAGATCGATTTGAATGATACCTAAAATCTTAACGTTTTTTTTTTTTCATTGCGAAAGCACGTAATGTAACGTAGCGCGATTTCGTGATCGAGAAGATCATTATAAGCCGTGACTTTCCGAGCCAACATGCGATTCCCTCGTTAAATATAGAAGCTACAGTCGGGAATTGCAGACACGAGACGATAAGAACAACGCAGGGAGAGATCAAGATCGAGAATGTGCGAATCGAAATAAATGCGATAAATTAATCATGATAACAATTCGATATCGCGACTTTTACGCATCGAGATACGAGGCGGCAAAATTTTAGACCTTTCTCTTTGTGAAAAATGAAGAAGACATAAAGAATTACTGTGGGACCAAAATACGAGGGAAAAATTCGCGCTACCTAGTTTCACAATTATATTAACGTGTAAAAAACTACAATATTTTGCAATATTTCGCTCTCTTTTATAATCCATTCCTACGTTCCTTAAATTGAAAAAAAAAATGTCACTGTTTGCGACTCAACAGTTTGTCGTCTGCGATTTACATCCGTTTCCACTAATGATAGTTTAACTTTAATTTCGGTTCAATTAACTTTTCGTCTTTTTCTAGCAATTAGAGAAAGATAAAAAATAACTTTTAATTAAATTTCATTGATGGAAACGAGATGTAAAGAGATTGAAAATTTAACCAAAGTTAGGCAATATAAGAGAAAGGGGAATAAAAGAAAGAAAAAAAGAGAGAGACAGAGAGAAAAGTGATGCAAGGAGAGGAAAGAAAGACAGGTCAGGAAAAGAGAGTCGCGGCCGGAAAGTCGAGGAAAAAAAATGCACTGTAAAGGCGGCAGACGCCTGCTGCCGGTGCAATGGAAATTTCCACTGGGTTAAGGGTGGGGAAGGCAGGAGGAGACGGAGAACGGGAAAGAGAGAGAGCGAGAGAGAGAGAGAGAGAGAGAGAGAGAGAGAGAGAGAGAGAGAGCGAATGAGTGAGTGAGTGAATGAGTGACGAGGGTGACCGTCGGGTGCGCCGGAGAGAAGGATGGCGACGGCGGCGGCCGGCTCGCGGCTCCTGCCGTGGAAACCGGACGCGGTTTGCCACGGAGAGAAACCTAGATGAGAACAGGAGAGGCGGCGCCGGGAGTGCGCGGTCTCCGCCACCCGGTGGATACCCGAGCCGGCGGCGTGGAGTCTTACCTTCGTTTTCGCGAAGGGCGGCAGACATAAGGGCCATGGCTGCATCATCTGTCTCCTTTGGAAGCCGGGCATCCTGTCGTCGCGTAGGTACTGTCGTCAGTAGGGGGGAAGGGGGAAGAATTGACGAGGACCAACTGTGCGGCTTTTCACACTCTCTCGCGTCTCTCGCGGGCAAGTGTCCGACGGATCCGCGGCCTGTGTGTCTCTAAACGATCAGCTGCTGGGTGTCGTCGTTGAGACTCTCCGCCGATGTCGTCGCCGATGTCGTCGTCGTCGTCGTCGTCGTCGTCGTCGTTGTCGTCGAGACTTGGTCTGGTATTGGCGCGAGCCTTTAAGTTGGCCGTGGGTTATCAGCCTCTTATCTCGTCAAATAGAATTACTTCCAGCTGCTCCGGTTGGGCTTGCGTCTTCGGGTCTGCCCCTGACGAGCGACGCCGATGAGATATACGAGTGGCCGTCGGCTAGGTCGTGGCGCGGCTCCTCTCTCTCGTCAATGCGCGACCGGCGCGTGCAGTGCGCCTTGATCGGTCGGCGCGGTGGACGCGTGCGTGGGTGACTACGTACGCAGGTGCGCGCGTATGTGTATTATACGTGCGTGCATGCGTTACTCCGTATACTTATTTGTTTGCGCGCGCACGTCG